GACAAGATGAGAAAAGCACTTTTCAAGCTTTTATTACACTCTAATATGTTATTGTAGTACAGTCGCATATTAATAATACGCACACACTCCTACTCATTGAATGTATTAAATCTTTTTTCAAGCACCAAATATATTGATGTAACGGCTCTGATATGCTTTTACAACTTTTCAAAGACGACGTTACGATTTTAATTATGTAAAATATCACACTTTCAACTCCTTTTTCTCGCGTCTTTACCTAGCCATTGCTTTTAATGTCTTTACATCTTTATTGAATATTTATTTTGAATTCATGATGATTTGAATATTTAACATTGATAAACATACAATTAATTTTAATTGAAATTATTCAATCTAAAGGTATATTTGTATGTATTAATATTAATTAATTAAAACTAAATTATTTTAACTATAAATAAATATAAATACATAAGCGTGTAAATGAATAATATTAAATTAATGGTTAATTAATTCACTATTTATTGAAAGTAACGATGCAATTAAAGTAAAGTAAGTTTAATAAAAGAAAAAAAAAGAAAAAAAAAACATATTTAGAATAATTTTTCAAGAATAAATTATAACAAAGGACTCAATTTTAAAAACAAATTTTTTTAAATATAAGTAATTTTTATGAATCATATAAAACTATTATTTTGTACGTCAAACGTGATAATTGAATAAATATAAATTCGTTTATATTACGCGGATGGTATGGAATTTATAAATATTATTATTTTATAAATGTATACGACATTAATAATTATACGTTTCCATTAAATCGTCTAAATACAAATGTTCTCATTATAAAAGCTAATTGAATACATTTATAATAATTCATGCAAAATGGTACTTTTATAATATTGAAAATTTATGACAAACGTTACACATTAAATAGATCCGTTAAGACGAGCAATTAATAATGTTGTTTAAAATTTTACTTTATTTCCAAACATAAACATAATCTATTGAAGCTATCATTTTAGGTAAAATAAAATAATTGATGCTAAAGAATTTTGAATATTAACAATATTACTTACTTAGTAATCCATATTCGTATTTGTACGGATAATTATTGATAGATAATTTAACGAATTAAAATCTGTATTATATTTTCACTCACAGTTCTCTTTTATTTTTCTAATATTACAAACATTAAACATGATTATATGATTTTGCTACAAAAGATAAGATGTAGACTACACAAATTTGTATAGTGGTAATCATAGTAGTGCAACTTTATTATTTAGACGCAAAATTATTTTTACGTCCTTCACGACGACATTCTCTGATTAATTATTACGTTTTAATTCAATATCTAATACTTTGAAAAATATAATACTTTTAAATATCACTCATAGTTATCTAATGTCTTAGGTCATGTATATATTATACAAAATTAAAATAATCATGTACGATAAAGTTCATTATTAATTAATCGCCTGGATTGAATGCCAAGGACTTTCCTGATATATATTTGTTTATTTTAATAACGACGAATCGACAATAATTTAAGAGATAAGATTTTTTACAGCTTACAATTCTTACAAGTATTCGGAAATCTACATGAAAATATTGTAATTAAAAAGTAAACTCATATGATAATTATAAGTAGTGCATATGATTTACTAGTTACTGTTTTCAATAAAATTAAAATTTAAGAATTTTGTTAAGACAATGTATCAGTCTATATTTGCAATTTTACTTTGAATTATTATTTTTGTATAATATATTAATCAAATATCAGAAACCCAAAAGAAAATTATCAGCAAATATAATTTCATCGTTATATTAAATTTCGGAAATGTGACAAAGTGAACGAAATAATGTAATATAAATTTCTTTTCACGGAAAAGCAATGTAAATAAAATCATGATTTCAAATTTATCAATTTTGTTTATAGAACTTCACACGTAAAAATAATTAATCGCAAATCAACATTTTTAATAAATATTGTTTTACAAATTATTGCATTTCAATTAGTAATGTAATAATTAGCTGCAATTTTTATTGATTTATAACTTATGTGGCGCTACTTTTAAAGAAAATTTTTTGATAAATCGCTTAAATTATTAAATTGATTTATTTAATCTAAAGTACACCAAAAAATTCCCAATGAATGTTGCGCTAAGAATTACTTTCACAAAATTAGAAACTAAAGAAACTTATTATTAACAGTATCTCACCAATAAATTGTAGAAAATTTGAAAACGTTCGATGCATTTAATATTTAACACTTTTACATTACAAATACTTTGGCATTACAAATAGAGTTATCAAACAACATTACAAAATTATATTTATGCTTGTGAAATCATCGACCTTGAATACGTCTCTCTTTTAATATATATATATATATATATATATATATATATATTTTTTTTTAATTTTTTTTAAATTCTATAAGTCTCCGAGCAGTTTATGATGTGAAAGAAAAAAAAATTTAGCCAATAAATAACACAAGATTGAATTTAACAATGCAATAATTACAAATTTCACTACAAATATCTACAAGCGAAGCAATATGCGAAGAAAGTAATCAAATTCTCATTAATCGTTTGCCTAAAAAATAGTCATTATTGTGAATTCTACAGTTACTTTCAATCGATCGTCACATAAACGTTTTAATGAAAATGCAAATTACTAAAAGAAGTCGCCATTCAAGTTGTTAATAAGCCGAGTGAATAAAATGTTATTCTTTCGAAATTTCCAATATGTCAATAGACGTCGCCCAAAAGATTTTGCGTTTTGTCCAAACATTAGGGAGCTGTGATTTAGTGCTAAAGATCGGCTAATTTTCGCTGTACGCGTCACGAGAAGCAAGCAGATTAGAAATTAACGTGAGAAAAACGTCGATACGCGTCGGCTATGATGAGTAAAATATGAAATAAATTTCTTTGATCTTCGGACTTCTTTGTTCACTCCTTCAACTCACCCAATCCCGTATCTCTAAAAATTTCGCATTCTAAGTGCAGTGCCGGGTGATACGACGGTGGTGGTGCGGGTGGGGGTTGGGCAAGGGAGGTGGGGGCTAAGGCTATCCGCACCCGATGCACATCGTGCATTTTAATGGAAGCGCGAATTGGCGAGCGAAGCTTATCGGCCATTCGCTTATCGAAGATTTAAAAATCGCAAAGCGATGGGACTGCGCTTATTCATCGTCGATAGGACACTGCCAGATGGGACTAAAAATCATTTGGCGTTGCTCCATCAGTGCAATACGTTATATTCCAAAGTTCTACATTAGAGTGAATGCCGCTCGATGCTTTTTATTCGATGCTAATCGCGCCTTGATTAAAACCATTAGTCAGTCACCTTTATTCAACCATTGCTAAATTATATAGGACGTTTTGTATAGAATAATGTGTATAAATCGTATAAATAACTAATGGATAGCACGAGTGATACGTTAAATAACTGCTATTAACGGATATTTATATTAACGATAGAGAATGTCTTGTTATTATTTAGTTTAGTTAGAGGGTGTGCAAATTAATTTTAACAATAAAAATAATTCCAAATCAGTATTAAAACGACAGGCAATTGTATGGTGTATTATTTTACTAATTGAGATAATGTAACATAAGCTGTTGTTACTAATGTTACTTGTAATTAATGTGGTCTTGCGATATTATAAAACCCATTAAAAAGCAGACGTTTAAAAGGTAGATTAAAGTAGTCGAAAGAATAATTGATAGTAATGATAATCTTGCGAGAATCGAATCACGTAACATTTATGAAACTAAATTACGCCAACTTACTTCTAATAAGCGATTTCTTATATCGACCGACTCTTCTCTGACAAACTGTAACTAAAGAGTCTAAACTATTACCGGATTTACTACATTTACAACCTTTTTATCGGCACTATAATATTAGTATGCGCGTGTGCGTGCGTGCGTGTGTGTGTTTTTTTTTTTTTTTTTTTTTTTTTTAAAACGTCATTTTTTAATCATAATTTTTTATTAAAATTATAAAACTAATCATTGATAATGAGTGTATAAGTATATTTTGAATAAAATATCGTTGCGATGAAACGTTTATTTAGCCATCTAACGATACACGAGAAATTAAAATTCTTTATCCATTTCTTTATCATCGTTAAATTTCGAAAATTGAAAGAACGAATGGAAGTTAGTGACGTTAGTTCTTTGTGTGATTTTAACATGGTATTGAGCTTAATTTACATAGAAGTTATCTCGCGTGAATAAAAATGTATTGAATATTTTCACAAAAATATAGTCTGTGTATAGATAATTTTACATCGTATACATCGTATTTGGTATACGATTGTAATTAAAGTAATGGAAAAGCAATGGGAAAAAAGCCTTAGAAATTGGACAAGATGAGGGATTCAATGCATCGTAAATCATGTGAAAGCTGCGGCATACGACGCGTATAGTTATACTTCATCTCTCGTAATCCGGTTTATTTGGCTTGGTGAGGACGTATTATAAGCCGCGATATATCGTTGGGGCAGCGACATTTTGCGTAGGCAGACGAAAACATTTGCATGCAATGCCAGTATTAGACCAACGATGAGCACCCGCAAGTACGCGCACTTGTGTATTAAGAAAATATGTATGGAAGAAGGCAATGCTTATCGCGGCAAGAATTATTAACGACTCGCTCTAGCCTTCGTATTATTTCAATGGATTTCAAAAGCTCGCTCGCTCCTTCGTCACGAAAAACGAAAACATCTTTTATCCGTTACAACTAGCACGCACGTAGGTGTCTATTATTTTATTATGTACAGAAGAATTTACGATACACCTTGAATTTGCTTTGTTTATACGTGCGCGTATGTGTACGCCCATGTCAAATATATACGAGTCTGAGCATGTACAATGAATCTTACTTTTGATTATATATTATTTATATTTTATATACCAAAAATTTATTTGATTTCGTTTTATTTTATTGTTTTTTTGTTCTTTCTTCGTTTTTTTTTGTTCTTTCTTCGTTTTTTTTTTTTTTTTTTTTTTTTTTTTTTTTTTTTTTTTTTTTTTATAAAGTCTATCGATTAGATAATAATAATTATTGGTGAACTTTCTAACACATACAAAGTTAAAAGTGTTAGCGAAGAATATAGAAATTTCGATGAATTACAAATTTCATAACAATTAAACATTTATTATCTATACATTCGTTGAATCTATAAATTTCTTCAAAGTAATGTAATCGCCAATCAATTGATATTAAGAAAATTGAAGCCTATAGTCGTTGAAAATTATTTTTGTTAAAAGCAGATATAATAAAAAGTATGGAAGACGGTAAATTAAGACGCAAAGCTCATCATTATCCACATTATTAACCGGAAAATGAAAAGTAATCGGTATAAATTCGTCGGTCTACACTTATTAAATAATGGTTCACAAGCACTTATACTTACTAGTAAAAGTAAAATTGTCGCTTCCGTTGTAATAATCTAGGCTATTGCCTGTCCTTGTCATCGTCATCGTCCTATCGCTACGTCAGCATTACACGCGAGCGGATAATCATTGTCCGATTGACGAGTAACGCGTGATAAGAGGGAAACGCTCTTTGCTCGTGTATTTACGCTCATTTACGGTAGATCGAAAAATAATTAGACGATCCTACGAGTTTAATCTTACGATGCTATTTTCAATAGAATATCGTCGGTTGAGCAACGCGACTTTATGATTCATAATGAAGTAACGAGCGCGATTTTTCGTTGGTAATTATGTTTATTCTTTCGTATCATATTATCGACATTGTCAACGCTCTTAATGACAATGTGATACTTTGAACGAAAAATCTTATCTCAATTGGCAAATTAATTAATATTATGATTAACATTCATAACGATCATGGCCGTCGTAAAAGATTATTAATGTCACTATTAATTATAAATGTATCAATTATCGACAGACTACAACTCTAAATCTATTATAACGAATAGTACACATTATTATATAATTTTCAAAGATATTTGAATATTTGAACGCAGGAATGTTAAATTACATTACATATCATACGGTATGACTAAAAAATGATGAACATGGAATGCCTTACAACAATTATATTGTTATAGATACCACCAGAATTCTTATGCAAAACATGACTGAATTTAAAATTAACATAATTTTTTTTTTTATCAACTAGAGGTTCCGTCAAATTAATACAAATCATTTTAAATTGGAATAAAATTCTTTGTTATAAATTGTATTTTTTTAATTGAATAAAAATTGATTGGATTCCATAAGAAAATTTTAATTGAAATTTTAAAGTCTCTTAGTGTTTAATATTATCAATAGAAATTAATGCTATATTTATTAAATTTAAACAAATTTCGTTTCTAATAAATACAACATTATAACTTGTTCATTTTTCGAGGATTTTTATTTCTTATTCATGCTCATATTAACTATAGAAGCAAAAAAAATTTTTCAAGCGATTTTACATTGATTTTAATTTATTCATATACAATTTATGAATGGAAAACTGATATTGCATCTGATTAAATATTATGTTTGCGATAATTAATCTTATGATCAAATTATTGCTATAATTTGAAAAGATTAATCAAAGTTCAATATATAATTCGTATTATTATAAGCGGAGATTGGCAGTTTGGTAGATTAAAATTGATTAAACTCCCATAAAAATAATACACACTGTACTAATGGAATTGAATAATGTATATACTACTTTTAACTACATAAATTATGGCGTTAAATTTTCAAATTCATCTCAATTATTTCATATACTGAAGGACCTGATTACAATAAACCTTACAAATAACAGTCTGCGCGAATAAATGAGTAAAAGAATCTAATAAGTTCATTATAACATAATTTATACAGTTGGTGCACAGCTATTAAAATAGTTATGAGTTCGTGAAATTAATGACAATTAAGTCTATGATAGATATGAGACATAAAATACTGGAAGATATAAAAATGTATTTTCTACTCGTTAAATCTTAACGGCTTATAATTTCGTGCTTATGAATGTGATGAAACAGCAACGAAGACATTTATTTATTAAATAATGGATTTTTCTATAATTTTATTCATGTATAATGTATATTTTTATCTAAATATCTGAATGTGCCATTGATACGATTGAGATAATTTATATTAATGAGCAGATAAATCTGACTTTTTTCACCCCCCCCCCCCCCCAACCTTTCTTTTTTCATTCTTAAAATAATCGAGATTTTTTCATACGCACGATTATTTCTTACATCAAACAAGCATGACAATAATTATGATTATTTTTGAACGATTGTTAGCGTTTGATTAATTAACTAATTAAAGAATCTCGAGTCCGAAGAAAATGTATAAAATAATCACGAGTAAAATTAATTTACATGTTCAGCAATCGATTCTCAATATCACTATTAATAAGAAAGAAAAATCTTACCTCTTAATCGTAACGCTAGATATTTCATAAAATAAAACTAATAAGAAAATAATTGATGAAATTTTGATGAAAGTTAGTGTTAGTAATACCAGTGCCAAAAACATGCCACTCATTAATAAGTTCTCGATTGTGAAAAATCGCAGTTATCGAAGCATTTACCGTGAATTCGCTCAAAAAAAGAGAAAAAAAAAAAGAAAAAAAAACGAAGTTAAACGATAACTCAGCCCATTAATACAGGCGATAATAAACGTTGAACTTTTGCGCGAAAGTCGCGTTGAGCAGGAAAAAAAGGATAAAGTCCGGCAGGATCAGCTAATTAAGCTCGAGCGTCCCCCTCCACGTCTGCGCCTGAGACAACAACGGAGATTACCATTAGACGCGACGTGTTTCCTCTCCACGACATGTAATAAACGCGGCATCGATCATCAGCGCCGACGCAGAACGGAAAACCGGTCGACGATCTGCCTACATTGTGCGCTTCCTTAAAAAGAGTCACTTCCTCGCGACGAGGACACGAGGGTCCAGGCTCACCGAAGGCAAGTCAGAGTGTCTTTAAACTTGCTCGCGGTAACGAGGACTTCGTTGCTTGACGATCTTTCGCCTTTTACACTCATAAGCTGGTAAATTATTTATTCTGGCAAGGATACGACGTTTGGCTATCCTGCCGTCGAAGCACATCTCATGCGCGACAGTGCGTTGCCATTATTAGTTTGTGTTTTTTTTTTTATTGTTTTTTGTTTTTTTCTCTCTTCTTTTTGCCTCTCGGTCTTTCTCGTAGATTTAAAGCACAATAAAGATTTATTGGTCTAAAATTTAAAATTTCTTATTCCATTCTTTCTATTTCTTACGTACATTGACACGCAGGCAGTCGACGTCTAGAAATTCCATTCGATCGTTTTAGTGTTATTATTATGCATGGAGAAAATTAATTTTTTGTGTTTGTTTTTTGTTTCTTATTGTTTCTTTTTTTTTTTTTTTTTTTTTTTTTTTTTTTTTTTTTGCTGAACTTTTTAGAGGAGTTCATTTGATTTTGTTGAGTTTGTTTTTGTTAAATACTCTATCTCGATTTCAGGAACCACAAGAATGAATTCACACACGGGAAAGCTTTTGCTTTCCCTTGGTACCTTTCTTGCTCTAGTGACTTCCCTATCAGCAGGTAAATTTATATTATTTATATTTATGTTAGATTTTATGATTGAAAAATGAATAGGATATCGGTGTTTTTAACGAAACTGTGATGTTCTTATACACGAATCCGCGAGTGTTCGATGAACGTTGATTTTTCGGTTTATCCAAAAATTTCCTCACCTTCCTGAATATTCGTAAGGTCGAATAAATAATATCAGAACCGATCTAAATATCGTAAGTGGAATTGTCGTTGGTATTGTTTGGTAAATGGCGAGTTTGCAAGCATTTTCTATTAAATTTTTCTTAAAAATAATTCCTACGTTACCTCAAAAAACCAATAAGGATAGCGGCGTAAATAGTCTCAATTAACTAGCTTAAATGCTCCTCGCGCCGATTATTCGGAGATGAAACATCGCTTACCCAAAATCTCACCAACAAACGACAATGGCAAGCTAACCTGGCGAAAATTGTAGAACCGAAAATTGTAATCGCATAGGGCCGAGTGAGGAGAAGGGAAGAGTCGTATGCTACTTCAGCAACTGGGCGATCTACCGTCCGGGTATCGGCAAATACACGGTCGATGACGTGCCGGCTGACCTCTGCACCCACCTCATCTACTCGTTCATCGGCGTGAGCAACGTCACCTGGGAGATTCTCGTCCTCGATCCTGAGCTCGACATCGAGCAGTCAGGCTTCGTCAAGTTCAATGCCCTCAAGAAGAAGTTCCCTGGCCTGAAGACGGAGGTGGCTCTCGGCGGTTGGGGCGAGGGCGGCCGAAAGTACAGTGCCCTCGTCGGGGTCAAGAAGCGCCGCGACGCCTTCATCAAGAGCACTGTCGGTGAGTCACTCTCTTACTTTCTTTGTCCCGTTGAGCGGCAGAAGATCGGACACGAGCCTCCGATGCTCTGCTCTCCGAACTGGGAAGTCAACATCTCGAAGCTTAACTGAAATCCAGTTCAAACGAGTATTTCAAAGAGTAATAATTTTAAGGTCTAATCTGAAAATAACGATGTAATTTATCAAGATGAAACGAGAAGGTATTTAGGTATAGCTTTAACGACATGTAAAGTTTATTTTAACTGAGGAAATAACATTTGTCTCTTATGGAGCTACAAAATTTTTTTGATTGATTTTGAATCTGCAAGTTAGTATTGGTATGATGCTTTATGCTAACGAAGCTTCTATAATTTACAAGATGAAATTAAATATTGTTACCGTTCGGGGTAATTATTCTTTTCTGCAGTAGTATTAATAAAAATGACTACATATGTCTTAATAGAATAGGTACAGAAAGAGGGATGGCGGTCTTATCGATTATGTAATGTACTATGGATTAAAAGTTTTATTTAAAAATGTGGACTTTAGAATTCATGGAGAAATACAATTTCGATGGCTTCGATCTCGATTGGGAGTATCCAGGCGCTGCTGACCGTGGGGGTAAATTTTCCGATAAGGACGTATTCTTCTATTTCGTGGAAGAATTAAGACGAGCTTTCAACAGAGTGGGAAGAGGCTGGGAGATCACAATGGCCGTGCCTCTTGCTAAATTCCGACTTCAAGAAGGTTATCACGTACCCGAGCTTTGCGAGTGAGTTTGAGTTTACTTTTAGCTTTTTATGAAACTCTCGGGCTCTTTTTCACTGCGTTTCAGCCCCTCGAGTTGCGTTGCTTTTCTTCGGCATTCGGCATTCATCATAAATCTAAATTCTATAACAATATCTAGATTTGCGAGTGAAGATTTGTTATCTTCATCAACATCGATAAAGTCACTCGCGTCGAAGCATTCTCGAAGTGTCAATATTATTCTTTAATACTTGCTATTTAAAAAACAATTTTACACCGAATTATTTTATACTGAATTAATTATTTTATAGGCCTATTTTGTAATGTATTGAGTGTAATAAAAAAAAAAAATAAATAAAAGAAAAAAAAAAAAGATCAGGTAAGTAAGCTTGCTACATATAATTAATATAAGACAAAATATAATCTCATCGGTAACGCGATAATTCTTCTTTTATAGGCAATTTAAATACGTTATACGTTATACGAATATATTGTTTGAAGAAATGAAAATATCCGTTAGAAATATCCATGTTGTGTATGATGGTTGTATTTCAGATTAAATAATCCGCGCGAACCTCTTCTGTAAAAGCGATGTGAAAGTCCTGGGATCACTCTGATGTTGCATGAACGTGACTAATGCATGACTTTTCTTTCTTTCTTTTTTTTAAATTTCTTTTTTCTTTTAAATTATCGCATTACCTATATTATAGACTGTGTAATCTCTTATCAATAGGGACGATGCAATTATTATTAAGCTATTACGTTGAGAAAATTGTCTAATATTAATTTATAACTTACGTATAGAAATTACATAATTTGCGATTATCATGAATCACAAAGATTCGTGCTAATTTTATAAAGCCTAATGTTAAACGTTATTTTAATATTATAGAAAATAATAATTTCCTTTAGAACACTGGAGCATATCAAATGCTTATTAAATGCTCAAATGCTAATGTTGAAGTAAGTTTGTTAATGTTTAAGTTTTAATGTTGAATACAGTTTGTCACATTGGGCACAGAATTAAATTATTCATACAAATCTCTCGTAATAATCTCACGTGTAATAAAATTCTGAATCGGCATATACCAATATCCGTTATCTAATAATCAGTAATGACTCGATGAAATAAATGTGCAAATTTATATTTTACCGATAAGCTACTGAAATTCATGGTACTGATATCAATCTTAATAATAATAATAAAATCGGCTGTGCATAATGACCCGAGAGCCAGTGCAGTTTTAGAAAATTATCATTTTCCGTCATTTAAATGACTCTAATAACCGTTAGCTGAACCAATTTAAGAAGGTAGAAATTACGCCAACCAACAAATGCATAATTTGTTCAGGGGATGCGTATCTATTCTAATCTACCCTACGTATTTTCGAAATATTCCATGAGAAAATCAATAATTAGCACTGTTAATTAATTATTGTAAATCTCTGAATTTTAGAAACGTCGATGCTGTCCACGTGATGTCGTACGATCTACGGGGCAATTGGGCAGGATTCGCGGACGTACACAGCCCCTTGTACAAGCGCACCCATGACCAATGGGCCTACGAGAAGCTGAACGTGGTGCGTAAGAAAGATAATTAAAGTAGCTTCGATTCTGTACATTTGCCTGTCGAATCGAAGTGCTCGGAAGAGATTAAATGTCAATTAGGCGTTTGGCCGAACAAGACGACGAAAGCTCAATTTTATCGTTATAATTCGGTAAAATTGACTCGAGTCAATCCTTTCACGCGACTATAAATTATGTACAAAGAAATAGAAACGAATAGTTTCGTTTCCACATCCGTCCTCCTACTTTCTCCGTCGACTTTCGTCCTCTTGCCTCGATATCAAATTCTCAAAGACGCGTACACCTGTGCGCAGAACGACGGTCTTCAACTATGGGAGGACATGGGCTGCCCAGCCAATAAGCTAGTCGTCGGCATCCCATTCTACGGGCGCACCTTTACCCTCAGCAAGAGCAACAACAATTACAATCCTGGTACTTACATCAACAAGGAGGCCGGTGGCGGCGAACCCGGCAAGTACACCGGCGCCAAGGGCTTCCTGGCTTATTACGAGGTGAGCTGAACATCGATAAACTTCAAGCTATTTTAGGCTCGAGTTTTATGATTATTTTATCGGTCGACAAATGCAGTAAGGAATGTGAGGCTCTTTGATGATTTTTAAACTCGTTGATAATTTATGTTTGCCGCGGCTGTTTTACGCGTGCATTCAAAGGTCGCGCGAATCGTTATTTTAACGATCGGCACTGGATAATGAAACTGAGAGTACCGCGAAAGTAGATTCGAGACATGGACGATTCGTGGAAAAGAATTTTTAAATAAACGAGTTCGTCTTTCACCTTATTAAACAATAATAATAGTTCGTTGAATGTCAAATGTGTTCGCGTCACCACCGCGGAAAACTATTATTCAAATTATGTCACCGGATCAAATAAAAATAATAATATTTTATCGTCGTAATAATAAGCTTTACGTGGAAAAAATGTTATTACTTATCCACTTATTTATATGTCGTTAACACTATGTGTTACCATTAATACCGTAGGGAAGTGTTGTGTGTTTTCTTTCAGTGGAAAAACTCTCGATAATAAAGTATGATTTTAAATGTTCGGCCAGTGTGTTAACGTAATTACAAGCTGAGAAATTACATTTAAATTAAGTTTCCAAACTTTCTACATAATTAGCCAATTATCTCCAACTTATAGATTTGCACGGAAATCATGAAGCCGGATTCTGCATGGACAAAAAAATGGGACGAGGGTGGAAAAGTTCCTTATGCCTTCAAAGGTTAGTAAATATTATTTGCACAATTTTACGATAATTATCCTCTGCGCCACAGGCACGCGTATAACGAATTATTATTACACGCGCGCTTCCCCCCCCCCCCCCCCAACCGCCTCCTCCCGCCCCATAACCCGTCAATCACCCCGGCCATTATAATAATATTATCGTGCAATGAAAAAGTCATTATCATCATCATCGTCGTCATTGCTCTTGTTCACCAAATATTATTAAATCAAGGCCTTTTATTATTGTTTCGAATTTACCAGGCTCCGAAGCATTAAAAATGTCAAATTTGTCAGGAAAGTCTATAACCATAAAGCGCGTTTTCGAATGATTAAGGATCGTAACCCTTAGCGCTTACGCGCGAACGTGATAAATCATCTAATCTGCATACAATGCCGCTCACGAATGTCAACATATTCTGGATAAACAGAGATGGGACAAAGCCACTAGTAAGGGAGTACTAACCTTCCGATGAACATTATCCTCGCGAACTCTTTCTTTCGAATTCTTCTCGCACTCATCGCATCGGTATGAATGACTAGGCATAGCAAAAAGTATTGAAATGCCTGCTAAAAATAACTAAAAGTGCTCGAAAGTAAAATGCAACGGCTGAAAGAGGCAGAAGACGGAATGTCGTGAGAGTGAGTTTGTGACGAGAAGCCACAATTGTGAGAGCTTAGCCGTATATTATTGTTCAAAGCATAGCGTCATTCATATGAAATTCATTGCCATATAGTATACAACATGCAAACAAAGCGTGACCAAATAACATGAACGAGACTCCTCCTCCTCCTCCTCCTCCTCAAAGAAAAAAAAAAAAAATTAAATAAACAAATAAAAATAACGGTACGTACGCATGACTCAAAGTGACAATGTAGAATACGATATTTTCATCGTGCGAAATAACATTTGCCGTAACAAAGGGAGATCGATCGGCGATTAATGTTGAAAGAGCAGCTTACAATACAACGACATGATCGTCGATTTGAATGGAAAATTGATTTGCACGCACCGTCCATTCGTCGCTCATTGTCTTTTTTTTTTTTTTTTTTCTTTTTTCGCACGATCGTTAGGAACGCAGTGGGTCGGATACGAGGATCCACGGAGCGTGCAAATCAAAATGGACTGGATCAAGTCCAAAGGGTACGCAGGCGCCATGACCTGGGCCATCGACATGGACGACTTTCGTGGCTTGTGCGGCAGGAAAAACGATTTGTCCCTCATCATCTACGAGAGCATGAATGATTACGTAGTCCCCAAGCCACATCATAGCACCACACCAAGAGTGAGTCCTATTTTTTATTTTTTATTTTTTATTATTTATTTTTTATTTTTTATTTTCATTCCCCTTACATTTTAATCCTTTTGATTATTATGAAGGATTATCGCGAGGATTATCCACGTATATGCAAAATTTAACAGTTATTCGTAAGTTTGAAAAATCCATCCTTACCGTAACCGTATCCATAAAATATTGACCAGAACAAAAGAATGAGGATACAAACGTAGAAAGGCAAAGTTTAAATTTTCAATCATCCGAATGAAAATAATACCGGCAATTAATTGCATAAGATTAATCATACTTTCAAGGAATTTTCAATCATAGACATTATCCTTTGAAAAATATCCAGCCCGAGTGGTCGCGACCGAAAAGCACGACCGCTGATCCAGCGGAGAATTACGTGACTACAACGACGCGCGAGACCGAGGAGACGACGCGGCCAACGAGGCCGACACATCCCGTCCAGCCGACGAGACCATCCACGAAGCCTTCTTCCACCAAACCCCTAACGAAGCCCACGACACCGGTTACTCTCGTCGACGAGGTTGACGACAGTGACAACGAAATCAAATGCGCTGAGCAGGATTTTATGCCCGCCAAGGACTGTGACTCGGTAAATAGTCAGATCCTTTGACATTTCAGCTGGTAGGGGATATTTTGTTATGGCAAATTGTAGTCTCGAGCCAATGTCAAGTTGTTTGCTTTTCCCCCGCTATTATTGCAAAAGCAAACACGTTTGCGTTAATATACCTCCGGAAAATAGAAATTTACAAATTTCTTGCCCTTCCAACAACACCTCTTACTTAATTCTACGTGAGCTTAGGATTACAATTTTTCTCTCATTTTACCGTATTACTTTACCACACCTTTACCGTACCATTTTGAATACGTAAATATATTTGCTCGAGCAATAATATTAGTGCAAGTGATACTTGAAAAAATAAAAAAAAATAACAAAAACGAAAGAAATTTTAACTATGTGTAAGCTTAGTTATTAGACTATTTCTTCTTAAAAGATATGACATGTTCGTGTTTGTTTTAATATCGTCGCAGTGCAGCTTTTCAAGCTGAATTAATATTTTTGTTCTCATTGTTACAGTACTACAGGTGCGTTTATGGAAGGCCATTGAAATTTCAATGCCGTGACGGTCTTGTATACAACACCGATAAATATATTTGCGATTGGCCACAAAACGTCGATCGCCCCGATTGCGAATAGACTCGAATACATCACATAAGCTTCAAGAATTTTCAATCGGCCAGACAATATAAAACGAAATAAAAAAAATAATTCATCCATTATTGCCCATCCAGTTATAAATAATTAAATAAGAAAAAAGTGATAATTGCTTATAGAAAACAATGCGTAAGATATGTTTTCATCCAGTACAATAATACTTGTTAAGATTACATTTACGTCAAATATTGCATTTCAGTTCGAAAGAACTTTAGTATAAGTTACTATTATTATAATAATTGCTACATAATTATTATTATAAGCTGAAGGAGTCTTTAAATTAAGTTACATTATTAATAAACGCCTACTTTTTAAACAAATTCTTATTATTGTAAATCAATAATTAGTACATGTAAAAGAAGATAGCATTGGCTTTATACACATATTATCAATAATCGGCGGGGTTATGACCGTTTCAAGTTATTATTATTGTTCAATGACGTGGAAGCACGAGTTATTTATCTCCAAACAATTAATAATAAAACTTTCCTAAAAGATTACAATACTATGTCAAATAAATAAATTAAACATAAACATCTTTGTTCCCATTGCATTTAGATCTCTGTCTCTGTCTCTCTCTCTCTCTCTCTCTCTCTCTCTCTCTCTCTCTCTCTCTCTCTCTCTATTTATGTGCGCGCGTGTGTGCATATATATACGATTAATTATTTGAAATAATCAGAGGAATGCATTACTTGTGCAAACGTAATTTTATGGGCACAGCATATAGCCTTTAAATGTAAAGTAATACGAATATTTATTGAAACATTGACATAAATTTTGCGAAGATGATAAAAGTCACGTGAACGTGAAAAAGAATTTTTAAATTACGAAGATTTTTAAAAGTTTTTATTTTAATTTTTTAAAGCACTGGAGATAGGCTTGTAATAAAAAGTTTGACGCTAATTATTTGAAGTCAGCGTCGCTAATCAACGAACGTTGCATTAAAAATGGCTGAGACGTGGCCCTGAAAATGCAGTGAAACTGATGAAATTCAAGGGATTCCCCGCGTCTAGGCCTTCCCGTGCACCCTCGACTATCTCCTACCGCACTTGCATCTACGCTCTCGAGAGCCTTTAATTCGTCCTGTCGCCTCGATTACGTAACAGGCACAAGCCCCCACAATGAGATAGATCTAATAACGGGCCAGTGCCGTGTGGACAGTCAACGCCAGGCACAACGATTGCCCTGCCAAATGCCGGAGTAACGTTCGAATATGTGTGAACACGCACACGAGCACGCGGCTTCAAGGAAATACAGATGCCCGTGGTAAACTCGCATTATAACTCTCTAGAAATAGTTCGTAGCCGCGGTTCATTAAATTTTCAGCGGTCGTACGGCTTACGTCACGCGGGGCACAGTGCACGTCCGCCTCGATGGTCTTACCTTCGTAATCGCGCGGCGCGAGTCTCGATCCTCTCCCGGTTATTGTTTTGCTGTCAAGGTAGGATTGCTACAACTTTGCTTTATTCACTCTCCCGAAATTCTCGTAGTTTCTTTCTATTTTCAATTAAAAATAGAATCGGATAGAAATAAATTAAAAATAGAATAGAATAGAATCGGCCTCCCCACCATCGCCGGGATCCTTTCAATATTTTAATATTTCAAAGGAGACGACATTTTTTTTTTCCCCCATTGAATCTTCTTCCTTATTTCGTTTTCTCTCTCTCTCTCTCTCTCTCTCTCTCTCCCTCTCTCCCTCTCTCCCTCTCTTTTTTTTTTTTTTTTTTTTTTTTTTTTTTTAACTGAAATTGAACATTTTTATACCAATCGAAAAATCGGAATATTTAAATTAATTGCAATTACTTTTTTTAATGTATACGAATCTTAATTGCCATTGGAAGATATATTTTTTATACCTTAGCATTGCTCGTGCAATTAATAAATATTTCCAAAATTATCAATGTTGCGTTATTGAATTAAAAATGAGAAATTGAAAATAAAGATAAATGATAATATATTAATTTTTTAATGCCGAACAATAAAGTGTAAAATATTTTCTAAGCACGTTAATCGTTGTAAAAGGAATTAAAATATTTTTACAAATTAGCACGTCTTTTAGACATTGATTTATTTTTACTTATTTTAATGAATAAATTTAATAATTAATGATAAAATCGCCCCGAACAACAATGACTCTTCTTAATTAACTTGTGTAGATTACTTTCCATTTTCATTATAAAATATTTTCAAATGCCAATTATAAATTATATTCACATTACTTATTAACTCTCTAATATATTTTATAGAAATTGGCAATTTGCAATTTTAATTGATAAGAGAAGACCGTAGCATTACATTTTCTTCTCGTTACATGCCATTAAATGTTAAACAAATAGGAAAATATAATTAATTGCATTGCGCTTGAAAGAGATTAGTAGAAACATTATATTAAATATTAAATTATACCAGAACTTTGTCTTTCAGTCGAAGATCATTGTAGGTTTCCCGATGGCAGTTCAAGGTTCACTAAGCAACTGATTCTGATTTTTTTTTAAAAAATATTCTTTTATAATAGATAACTTTTTATCATTAAATGACATTTTATCATTAAAAGACATTATTGAAATTATTAAAATACAAATATAAGCGAATAATTTCATTCGATTGTTAGGGTAGTTAAGGTATTAATTTATATGAGAAATTCAATTTAAAATACCTAATGAGACCGTTCGACAATAATTATATCGACAATAATTATACAATAATGTATTCCATATATCGAATTCATAGATACTTTAGTATGATTCATATTTGATTTATTCATTTGCGTTTATTTTGGCTTATATTTTGTTTCACTAGCTACATCATAAAAAATTCGAAAACATATATAATGAATTTTTAATAATTTAATAAGACTCTTTTTAACTCGGATGAAATGTTATATTTATATAGTTTAACATTAAATGAAAAGTTTCTTACATTGTACAATAAATATAAACAAAACAACATACATTTTTTCCCAAGTGAACTGCGGCACGAATATTTATATCTATTGCGCAATACATAGGGAATAGTTGGTAATTATAATGAATATTATTTGATTATTCATGAGTAATAAATTCTTAAGAATTAATAAGATTTATTTATTTAAAATAATGAATTCTCTTACGCCTATGTAATTATGCAATATTATATAAATACCGTAATCTGATCTAGTTTCACAATTTTTTATAAGCCAGTGATACTGTTTCTAATTTCCATGAGAATTATATAATATTAAAATTGTGGTTGCAAATGTAATCTTTTTATATTCTTGAAAATTACATGCAAAAGTTTTAAAAACATGGCAATTGCGATTTGCGAATTATACACTGTGTATTAAATATTATTATATAATTATTACTCATTTTTCGATATTTAATAATTGAAAGAGTAGTATTTTGGATTATTGTCGGTATATTTTTATATTCACGTAACCGTGTAAAAAAATCGGTACTTAAAATTTATTTTTAAAATATAATATAAATATAAAGGAAAGAAAAACTTTTTACTAATTTCACTAATTACTAATTTCATTTCACTCATATTACGTCATAATTTATTTAATATTGAAAAAAATATAAAGATTATAATTTAATAATATATTAATTAATTATGAATTTAATCATAGATTGATTGTAAATTTAATTTATTTATTCTGAGCGTAATATAGTGTAAAGTTTTGTATTAAAAATAATACTATTTTATAAAAACTTTTTAAAACACTTGAACTAATAAAATAAATGATTAAATAATTATATTTATAGCACAATTTGTCTATGCTTTCCTGCGAAAGATAAGCAAAACCTAGTGAGAAATATTTTTATGCAAATACTTTTTTATCTTTTATTTCTTATCTAATAGCCTCTCTCTCTTTCTCTCTCTCTCTCTCTCTCTCTCTCTCTATATATATATATATATATATATGTGTGTGTGTGTGTGTGTGTGTGTGTGTGTGTCTGTCTGTATGGCTGTATTTAGTAGCATCTAAAATTTCTAAAAATAATCAATCTTTCACAAAGTAAGTTAAGCATGAAAAGCATTTTATAATATTATTAACTCAACGTTAAGCAAAGATTAAATATACATACATTATATGCCACATGTATGGCTTCAAAAAAAGGAAATAAAAAAAGAAAAAAAAGAAAACTGTAAACTTAAAGCAATATATTAACTAAATATATTCATTTAACAATTCGAATGTTCATTACTCGATGTAAAAGGGCCAATACTTCTTAAACTGTTTGTGTGTCGGTATGAATTTTTAAAATTGAAAATGTTTTGCAATTTCATTAATATGGTTGTTGTGCTATTATGGATTTGCAAGATGAACGCGCATTCCAAAATGAATTGTGCTAAATTTCTTCAATATTAACAAATAGACTTATAATAAATTCGAATTCGAGAATTCTTCATTTTTAATGAAAATTTATCGCAGTTATCTAATATTGTTTAAAAATATTCAAAGAGTAGCCCTTGCTTAAATTGCTAAAAATACAAATTTTCTAAATAAGACGTTATCCTTGGTTGCTTTTTTATTAAATATAATGTAGTTAATGGCAACATTGTCCAACTATCAATTAGCGCGAAAATATGTTGTAAAAAAAAGAAGAAGAAGAAGATAAAGAAGAGTTTCCCACTGATGTTTGAGCGAAAATTCGAGCTATTCGTTTCACCTAAAAAAAAAAAATAAAAAAAAAAAATAATAATCGCTGTGGCGCAAAAGCGAAGGATCGCGTGCCTAAGAGCGCGATGATAAAGCCGTGAAAAGTTGAGAATGTCCGTTACCCGCGAAGAGGGGGTATAAAGCAGGGGCCATGATCAATAAAGTTCTAGTGTCTCCCTTCTCCTAATCAAAGCCCCAATGGCTCGAAAGGCCCGCAATTGTAGGACTCCGTGACCATTCGGTGCAATTCGGTTGCGCAATCCGACTCTCCCGACACGAGCGCGGCTCTCCTCCTCCTCCTTCTCCGCCACCGCTTTCGCCCCCTCCTCGTCCGCCACCTATCCCGTGGACTTTTTGCCGGGCGATCGCAGTCGGCTGACGTCGTCAGGCGTAGAGGCAGGGAGTAGTGGGTCCGAGCGGGCTCGAGGGGAGAATCGTCAGTCGCGCGAGGTGGTGGTACGGTGGGCGTCGGGACGAGGCGTAGGGCCGACCTTGGCTAAATGCCCGAAATGAGGTGCCGAGGTGCGAGCCAGGTGGACGTAAGGGCGGAGGGGCGGCTCGCCTAAGGTGGAAAAGGTAAGCAAAGGAGTTTTAGCGTTAGCCAAGGAGCTCTTGATTAATATTACACGAAGTGCTGTCTCTTGCATGTACTCGGTGCCGGCTCTTCTTAGAAATCCATCCTCAATTCCACATCCGATTGTCATTTGCTTTCGCCTCCTACGCCTTCGGTTTCTCAATTGCGTATTGCTCTGCGTCGGATACCGCTCTGCTCGCCTCTTCGCTCGTCCGGGTTCTTCGAAGTCTCGGGCGAGGGGAGCCGGGGGAGAGAAGCGATACTGAAAACTTCCATTGTTTTCCTTAAATCGAGCCGCTTGTTTGTCGAGAGGAGAAAGAAACGGGCGGGTTTGGCGGCAAATGTGCTGTCTCGGTGTTGCTATGTCCGTCGCCTCGGGTCCGTTGCATTTGGCAGGGCAGGAAGAGGCATTAAACTTTGTTTGAAGAATTTTTCTGGGGATTGAAGTTGATTGGGAATACGTGCAATAGCCATTCTACGGACGTCTATGCTATATTCTCAATGTCTCAATAGCGAAAGATTATCGACATAATGTATGTTTTATGCTGGAAATGCGCTTGCTAAGATTAACGTTCCATGTTCTCATTTGTGTTTAGGACATTGGGAATCCAACGAATGCGCGTGTAATTAAACGGCCATAATGTTTTTACAATATAAATAAGCTCGCAATAAAAGCTTCTATCATCGTCAAGAATTAAAAATCATCGCGATAAGCGATTAATGCAACTTGTTTATAACACATAATTTATTCATCGCTGCCTCGATAAAGTATTTTTTTTATTTTATTATTATTAGCGACAGTATAACGATCGACGATGAATTATTGTAAATTTAGATATTCGAACGTGTTGTTATCATTAAAGTTCCTATTTCTCGTATTGTCATGGGCTATTGTTATTCGATGCATTAGCCAATGTTAATTGTTCGTTGAAAAGAAAATACTTATGTTTTAGTAGAAAATCGATGGGAGGCGACATTCAACATAAACTTTAACCATACACTCGTTTGCTCT